AATACGCAAACATTTGTTATTACTGAATTTGTTACTATTTAGTTTAAGATTTAAAATTTAGACATTTTTCACGAAGTGGTGATATTTTATTTTTCGCACTCATAACATTTACGTATTCTAGATTCGTTGAAAAGTATATAACAAGCAGAAGGATATAATGTATCACCATATAATGTATATATATTTTTGATCAGGATCAATAGCCGAGTCGAACTGGCCATGTCCGTCTGTCTACCCATCAGTATGAACATCTAGATCTCAGGAACCATAAAATCTAGAGAGTTGAGACTAGGCATGCATATTCCAGAGACATATACACAGCGCACGCTTGTTAAATTATGTTGGCACTCCATCTCTAACGACCACAAACCGCTCAAAACTGTAACACGCAAACTTTTGGATGTTTTGATATGTTTTCAGTTCTGTACTTCTCTTGTATGTTTTTATCGGTATGCCAAAAATTTGATTGTCACGTCCACTCTAACGCCCACAAACCGACCAAAACTACCAGGCCTACAACTTTGAAAAATGTTTTAATATTTTGTTCAGTTTTTTATTAATCAAAACAACTTTTTGCCACGCCCACTCTAACGAACAACGCCCCCCAAAACTGTCACGCTCCAACTTTTGAAACATCCTTATCAATCTATCAAAATGTCTCAATCTATCAAAATGTAATCTATCGTGTAATATGTAAAATTCTTTAAAAAATGTGAAAATTTCTGTATCTGATAGTCGGGGAACTCGACTTAGGCGTTCTCTGATTTATTATATGTTTTTACTTGCTTATTTGATTCCAAATTTAAATTTGGCATATCCAATCGCCAATTCAATGTGCTCACACAAAAATTTTCGTTTACTCTCATACAGCTTGGTTAAAAATTCCCAAGTGGCTTCATAATTTTCTCCAGAGCAAAGCAAAAAATGTATAACTACAGTTTTGAAGTCGCTTCTAAATATTTACTCTACTCTTGAAGCGTTATCAATCGTTTTTTTGTGACATACCATATCCCTTAAATACACATTTTCTTAGGGTTTGAATTAGGGACGGTGTGCTCTACGGAAGAGGATGATGAGATATAAGAACTTGATTGTACAAGTTTTTATTCGCAAAAGTTTTGTCTATATAATGATAAGCTTGTTTTGTAATTTGTATGTGTACAAAAATGAAAGTAATTTAATTTAAATTAAAGTAAAGGGCATTCGCCTCCATTGCGATATCGGATTTGTTAAGAGGTGATTGAAAGTATGCATTCACGGAGAAACAACAGTTAGCATTCATACTATTTCAACGAAATAGTTTTTAATTTGTTCAAAACCAGACAGAAATCCACACAGACGTCCAAGTTCGGGCTTGGCGCAGCCTTATTGCAGCAGGACACTAAAGACAGTTCTTTTCATCCAGTCCAATTCATGAGTCGCAAGACATTACCGTTTTAGGAGAAATACGATTCGTACGAGCTAAAGGTCTTGGCTTTTATAGTCAAGTGGCATATTTGCGTTTTAGGCATTAAGTTCACTATTGTAATCGACTGTAACGCGTTAAAAATAACTATGAACAAAAAGGAAGTTCCTCTTCGGGTAGCTCGTTGGACTTTGTATTTGCAGGAAACAGGCTGACGCTCTGAGCCAAGCCTCGTGTTACAATTTGTCAGAATCATTAACCCATGGCTTAAAGGATGCTCAGATCAAAGACGAATATACACAAGCAGCTCGAAGCCTATTGGAAGGGGACCAGGACTACCAGGACTTCTACATCCAAAACGACGTTCTTTTCAAAGACATCGCGAAATTTTAGTTGTACCTTCGGCTATGGAAAATTTGATAATTTAAATAGCCCACAATCAAGGACATTTCTCTGCCAGGAAGACACTGGATCTCATCGAAACAACATCTTAATCGTATTTTTTTCTCTACCCAACTCGTTGGACCGGTGTCGATAAAGTATTAATCTGTCTCGAGAAGATAGAAACACTGCTTTGACATCTTTGGCGTTTATGTTTTATTGGGAGTTAAACAACATCCAGCATTTGCTCATAGGGACAGGTTACCACGCGGAAACGTTCAAGTCGAAAGGATTCAAAAGATCTTCATACCGACAGGATTATTAAAGCACTTGATGTAGGAGCTTGCAGTAAAGAGCTGGACGAAGAAAGAGAAAAGTATCGGAAGTCAGCCCAAGAGCACATCAAAGAGATACAGGACGAAAATAAGAATGCGTTTGATTTAAATAGGAAAAACGATCGTGTCTTCCAACTACCCAACAACCCAATACAGAATCGGACTAACACTTAAAGGAAAGTTCTTAGTATGATGGTTTCACATTTTATTGGAAAATAGTAAAATAGTTCGTCTTCGATTAAATAATAACACTTTTATTGCGAATTTTATTTAAATTATGTTTCTTTACTATTCGGAAGCAGAAGAGGTTCTAAAACCCTTCGATAATAAAATATTGAATAAATTAATGTCTTATGGGTCGCAGCTGCACTGACCGCAGAAGTTGACATAGGTCGGACTGCATATATATATTATAAATTCCAATGCTCACTGATACATAGCGTGACAGCGTGAGCGGGAGACAATTTGTATATGCTTGCATCGCTTGTGTGCTTTGATCATGGGAATTTGCTGACACTTGCACTTCACATACATTTGACTTTACGGCGTGGGCGGAAGATCGTATTTCGCGAGCCAGTTTTTATTGTTTACATAAATTCACTGTAAATAAATATTGCAGTTGATACAGTGACAGTACATTAGAACTTCATAAGATAATTTATGCTGAGAATCATGGGCAGCGGTACGAAGTAGAACGCATACGTGATACAGAGGGTCCATTTAGAGCATCTAACATTGCTGAGTATATGAAGCCCTTTTGCAGGTTTAATCGAGGCTTTCTTCGCGGCAAACTCGAGGTGGTTTAAGCTATAGGGTCTGGGTCCTTCGCCATTTACAATGCAAACCAAAATACTCGATTTTTGGTAGACCGCCGATTCGTGTGCTACTTCTCACACTACTAGTAGTAGTAGTTATGTAGAAAATTTATCTTATTTATGTCTTATTTTATTTCAAAGAGAAATAAACAAGTAAAGAAAACAAGTGATTATGAAGATCTTTGTAAGCCGATAAATACACTTAATGTTTAAACTTATCCTAATAAAATATTGTATGCGACATTAATAAATTCCTACAAAAATAATAAATAAAAAGGGAAAAAATAAAGTGTAAGAATATTGATAAGATAAATACATAAGATAGAAACTAAATATCGTAAAGACAGATAATAAAATAAATAAAAACATAATAATAACCAATAAATTAACTTGAAAACAACAACAAAAACATCAGCTCTTTTGGAGGTGTTTTGAAGGCAGTGTACGATCATTCTTGGAGGAAGTATAAATACCGGAGCAAACACTTACCAGTAAGCTTGAATTAGAAAAAACCTTGAAGAAAAAACTCTATATTTAAGATTAATATCATTCAGTATAGAATCCCTTATTGAGAAATTACCTACACACATTTATTTAAAAATAAATAACCACAACATACCAGATAAACCTTTTACAAGCGAAAGGCATGTATGAGCAAATAAATAATACAGGTACACCTACCCAAGAACAAAATATCTCTGATAAGCCACAAAAGTCTGTTCATCACAATGCTCATCACACTAAAAACAACATAAAAAGATATCCAACACCTTGTCTACATAATAACTCACCAGTGTCATAGTCAGCCCCTCAAATAACAAAAAGCAAAAGGGAAATAACAATAAGAAAACGAAATAGATAAACGGATTTCTCATATACACAAAAGGCACGCGCCCTCTTTCGCAGAGTCACTTGCGTTTTCAGTTTTGTGAGGAGCAGACGCGATTCTTATTAAGTGTCAGTTTGGAAGAAAATCGTAAGTAAATTATTTTAAATTAAATTAAATAAAAATTTTAATTATTTTCGAATTTAATTCATTCATTAAATTCAGGTAAATTGTTTGAATATATTTTTTATTTTAAGCGACTTAAACATGTAGTTCAATTTTCCAACGAAACTGAAATGAAGCTGGCACAACAAGACGCACGTTTTATATAATATAATATATTTTGTCAATTCCTATAAGGTTCCCAAAAAACTTTTTGCCACGCCCACTCCAACGCCCAAAAACCTCCCAGAACAGTCACGCCCACACTCTTAAAAAAATGTAATTTATTTTTCATTTAATTATTTTTTCCGCAATTTCTACCGATATTCCAGAAAATGTGGAAATTTCTCGTTCGAACTTCCACTATCTGAGTAACGGGTATCTGAGAGTCGGGGAACTCGATTATAGCATTCTCTCTTGTTTTAGTTGAGTTTAGTAGTTACTTGGGTTTGGCTGCCAAGGACGAGATCTTAGAGAACATGGTAGACGCTTTTTCTGGACAGTAAATCTAGCGAAAATTACTTTAAAACATTTTAGAAAACAATAATTGTAAGTTATGAGCAAAAATAAGTAAAATAAATAAATATAAACAGTTCCTTACTTACTTACCTAAGTTCACTTTCCTGGTGCTCCCTTGATTTTGACTGGACTTTTAGGGATTACATTTAAAGCAACAAAATTTCGAACTAAACATTTATAATTCTAATAGAATGCTTGGGGTTCTTTTTTTTTTTATATTCATTAATCTGTAAAATATAAAATACCTCAAGAGGACTACAAGTTTAAGAACTAAAAATCTAAGAGTGGAAAAAAAACGCTTTTTAAAAAAGAGAGAAATAACTATTTAAAGATGTAAGGCATTTTTGTAACCTAATAAACTGGCAAGTCATTGGTTTGTGAAAATCGTAGAGCAAGCAACTAATTTATTTAGGATGATAAGATAAAGCTTAGTTGTAGAATGTTAACTTAAGAATTGAAAAATTTTATTTCTATAAAATCAAACCAAAACTGAAAAACATTAAGCATGTGTCCCACAAATTTTCTATACCTAAATCCACAGCAGTTTAAAATCTTACCGTAACTTTGTGGCCATCTACCAAACCGATTTTTCTATTCAGTAGCAACAGCACCAAAATAAGCAGCACGGCAGAGCCGCGGGTCGGGTTGTTATTCACCATTTGATTACACGTCAAAATATACATTTAAACACTGAAACTCTTCGCGCCGTTCTGCAGTCAATTGTTGCCAATCAGTTACGTTTAACTACAGCGAACTGCCAAATTTAATTTCCCGTTTGGCTTCCTTGTTGATATTATGCCGCAAAGTTAAAATTGGTCAGTTATCATTATCATTACATTATGTTATCATTAGATTATAGTGATAGCGGCAGCTTTGTATAAGTCCGTCCATTCTAGTTGCATTTATTTTTTATGGACAATTGCTCTTAATCTTTTAACGTTGATAACCTAACATTCTTTCCGTCAGCAGCGTCAAAGAAAATAAGTATTATAAAATAGTACTCTACTTCTTTTAACACAGAACAACGAAACAATGAATCTTACACGACAAAGAAGCGTGGTAGAATTCGTGGTGCATTCGTATATATTGCTCTACTATAATGAATTTAGTTGTACTCTTTTGTGTATGTTAACGAAAATAAAGTTTGCCGATTGCTCATATTTTTAAAACCGTGCATTTCGGGTACAAGCCAAAACCATTATATTAACAATTATATTTTAATTTTACAATGAAAGTATATACAATTGTAAATATTAATATACGTTTTCGAACATACGTTACACATACATGTAAAAAAAAAAAAAAAACAATAAATATTTATTGGATATATTTTCTCTTAAGTGTGGACTTTTGTTTTCTTACATAGCTTGACAATATATTTTTAATTGCCATAGTAAAAGCGGAATGTAAATTTTGAGCAAACGGTACTTACGAAAAGAAAATAACGAAAACGATAGACGCAGACAAAAACGTGTTTCCTTTTCCATTGAATTTGTATTTTCTACATTAACAGCATTAAGCAGTCCTAATAAAGTTATATTTTATCTATATATTGCAGATTGCATGCTTCAGCAATCTTGAAGTTAGATAAAATAAAATATTTATTAAGACGGGACTATATTATATTCCTTGGAAACATTCCCTTTCCTTTAGTTAGAATACAAAGTATGTATTAGAAACGAAAGAATTGTAATATAAATATTCTGGAATACTTGGAAAACATCCAGAAGCCTTTCACGGAATTTATCCGGAAGCCTTTCACGGAGTGCTTACAGATGCTTTGCACATGAAGGTTTACAGAGTGATTGCTCAAGAAGTATGAAAGAGAGGGTCACGCCCGCGAAAATGGAGGAGTAACTTGTGGAAAACTTTCCACTTGAAAAATAAATAAAATGTTCCGAAATAATTCCACTTCCAACTTGGTACTTACAAGTATGTGTGTGTATGTATGTATTAACAATAAATCATATAAATCATATTCATACAATCAAACTCAAAATAAATCATTATATTCATTTATTTGTATGAATCTTATTAGTTATTTTAATTTAATTCTACGTACGTGACTTCGTACGTGAATTCGTTTAACTCGTACGTGAGTGAGTAGTGAAGTGAATATTATTATACCCGTTAAATTTATAGTAAAAGGGTATGGTAGATTCGTTGAAAAGTATGTAACAGGTAAAGGGAAGTATTATATACATATAAGGTATATACAAATATTCTTGGTCAGGATTACTAGCTGAGTTGATCGGGCGGTGTCGCCTGTCAGTCGATATGAACGTCGAGATCTCAGGAACTATGAAATAAGATTAGACATACAGGTTCCAGAGACACATGTATTTGCAGCGCAAGTTTGTTTCCAAATGGTGCCACGCCCACTCTAACGCCCACAAATCGCCCGAAATTGTCACGCCCACACTTTTGAAAAATGTGATATTTTTGTTTTTTTGATATTTTGTTTTTTCTATGGATTTATCAAAAAACTTTTTCCCTCGCCCACTCTAATGCTCTAAAGCCTTGTTTGCTTTTATCTGCACGAAAATATTTATGTACTCGTGTGCTACTATACGTAGCAGCTCTTCTACACTGGAATACTTTTTCATTAATATGTAAATCGGATCATTTACTTCGTCATTGAATAACGTTTCTTATAAATATCCATTTTATTGTCAATTGATAGTCTTCGGATTAATTCACTAGGAAAATGAGCTGCACACAGTTCCAGTTTGGTAATTGTCTTTCTATTTTTCATTGGAATTAGCTCCAGCAAGTTATACATATATATTATGTAGAAAGCATTCCTAATTATTTTACTTATAATTATACCAGTTACTCGTGGAGTATAAGGGTATACTAGATTCGACGAACAGTATGTAACAGGCCGAAGGAAACGTTTCCTACCATATAAAGTATATATATTCTTGATCAGGATCTATGGCCGAGTCGATTTCATAATGTCCGTCTGTCCGTTCGTTTGTCCGTATGAACGCCTCGATATCAGGAACTACAAAAGCTAGAATGTTGAGATTAATCATGCATCTTCCAGAGACATAGACGCAGCGCAAGTTTGTTTCTAAATGTTGCCACGCAAATCTTGTCACGCCCACACTTTAGAAAAATGTTTTAAAATTTTTTCATTTTATTATATATTTCTATAAGTTTGTTAAAAAAACATTTTGGCACACCCACTCCAACGTCCGCAAGCCGCCCAAATTTGTCACGCCCACACGTTTAAACAAAAGTTATTATATTTTTAATTTTTTTATATATTTTGTAAATTTCTATAGATTTGCCAAATAAATTTTTGCCACGTCCACTCCAACGCCCACGAACCTCCTAAAACTGTCACGCCCATATTTTAAAAAAAATTTAAGGTTTTCTTTTCATTTCAGATATTTCAGAAAATGTTGAAATTTCGTTAAGTAACGGGTATCTGATTGTCGGGGAACTTGACTATAGTATTCTATCTTCTTTTATTCTTACATTTATCTGCAATATCTATCAGAACTCAGGAAGCCAAACAAACGGTGCAGATGCAGTTCCGTAAGTGACAGTGGTTAATTTATATATTATACCCGTATATATTATACCCGATACTCGTAAAGTAAAAGCGTATACTAGATTCGTTAAAAAATGTGTAACAGAGATCCTAGATCTAGATCCTAGACTCCTGACGCATATGTTCACGCTCATCGTTCCACCCCTGTATCAAAGACTGCTGCACCTGTTCTTTAAGCTCTGAATTGTTAACAACACGGGAGTTATGAGAGAACGTGTTCCGGAACAATTCCACGAGACAATACGAAACAAATACATATATATATTTTTATAACATCCGTTGACATTGTATTGATTTAAAATATATAATAATATTGTAATACACTCACACTTTTTCCTCCCTTTCCAAAGAAACACAACACCAGCGTTACTTAATATTCACCCACACGTAACCCCAGGCCCCCAGTATAAGTTCATAACTCTTAAAAAAAGTGTTGCTCACGAGGTTAATTTCTTTAAACAGTATTTCAAGCATCGTTTTCGCCCATATGTTGGGAGCCGCTGACATCTTTAAGTATGAGGCTCCGCTTGTCCCGTTGCAAGAGGGCACAGTATGGCGTAACAACGGCCAATTCAAACTGGCTCACGTTGGACTGGGACAACGACGTTCACAAGAGAACGTTGTAAAATCGGCCGACCAACAAATCAGGATAAGCGCTGGACTATTCGACGCCTCGCATGAATACTCGATACAACTTAACGAGGTTACAGCGAGAGTCAACACCATCAATGGAGACGTACACGCGGCGACGACCTTGCTGCACAAGAATCTGATCATCTACAATCAGTTCGGCGAGTTGAACCAAGCTTTTCAGTTGGCCTCCTGTTTGTTGGACCACGGAGAAATAAAGGCGATCTTAACTGAAGTCAGGAACTTGCTTTACCAGAATGCAGTCGAAGCACTGGAATTTTCCCGCCCGTCCGTGCTGACAAATGGAACGGCGCTTCTATATATTCTGGCAATGCCGAAGGTATCCCCCAAAGACTACCGCCTGCTTCTCCTTTTCCCGGTGACCTTTGAGAGAAAACTAGTTATGATTAAGCATGACAAGGTCGCTGTAAACTTTAAGGAAACCTATGCCATGGGCGATTGTCTCTCCATAGGCAACACGACTGTTTGCCCAGAGAAGAGCCTCCTGAAGATGGATGAAAACTATTGCATCCCTTAGCTGTTAAAAGGTGGTCAGGCAAGATGCTTTTTCTTTTTGACGGAGGCTTGCTTTGATTATCGGAGTGGCCCTGTACATCGTATGGAGGAAGCTAACATCGACCAAAGGTATCCCGGTATCTTTAAGGAAGGAGGAGGTATGAACCTTCTCCATGCACCTTCCTCCTCCCCTCTACCGACCGCCGCTTTTGCACGCGCCCTCTCCGTTGCGCCGCCGGAGACTGGTCCCCCGCCCTTGTCCATCAACACAACGTACCCGACGATCGCGCTGTCTGCAAGTTCCTGTGTCTGCAGATGACACTTTGTCACCCTGGCTACAATTTGGCACGCCTCCGAACGAGACCTTGCTGCTTAGAACAGCAGACTCGCCGGACGTTGGATACACGACTGCAAACATAGCGTGGCTCATATTTCGACACCGAATCCAACGGTTATGCGGGTTCGCCCCCAGCCCAGCATTGGCAGCAAACGCTGCCCTCAGCATTAGAGCCGAAGCTCTGGTGAGACCCTGCCCCGACTGCAGAGTCAGTCTTAGGCCTACCCCCTAACATAATACAAGCGAAACCTCTTTTTAATTTGGGCACAACCTAATATAAGGTATAAAAAATTGTAACGCAAACGGGACAAGGCTATTTGTCAACTAGGTGTAACGAAAACGGGACAAGGCTATTTGCCAACTAGGGAGCTTCTCTTACAGCACCTTCCGTGATGTCCATCATTTAACTAGGTGAGCTATGCGTCTACGAGAGCCGGATCAATTTGGGCAAGCACAAGGCTTGTCATAACTTATATTATGGCAAACATGGTTGAAATTTTTTAGATTTAAACACATACAAAAAAAAAAACATTTGAATTTTCTTCAGTGTTTTCTGGTGCCTTAGAAATATCAAACTTTGGCTTTCCGATTGGGTTTTATAGTTGCAAGTAGAAGTTTATTATTATTTATAAATTTAAAAATAAATGTATAATTATTCTGAAATACTTGTTTTGGAAAACATCCAGAAGCCTTTCACGGAATTTATCCGGAAGCC